AACCCTTTTTCTTTTCACAGCACTGATATTCTGGAGGTTACAGCAAACCCGTGTTACAAATACAATCTAGTGCATAAGCAGAGATTTTGCTGTATTAAAATTAATATAACAGAAAATAAAGGAAATTATTATAGCCCTGGATTTACTGTGAGATCAAGCCAGAATTTCTGTGTCTTAAGTAACTTTTTTCTACAAGAAAATACATACATAGTAATGAATTCAGATAGAAAGTGAATGTTATTTTGAGAAGAGGAGCATATTTGAGGTGTTTAAGTATTCATATTTTTCTACTTCAAAATGAATTAGGAAATAATATAAAAATATACCTCACAGTAATTTAATAATATATCTCACTGTAGGTATTGAAGGAATCAACTGTTCAGCTACACTCTCACAACACTACTCACACATCAGATTCAACCTGGTTCTGTAATTCTTTTTTCTAGCATAAAGCTAGTTCTCATTTGGGATTAGGCAAAGACATTCAGTCTATACTACTGTGGATGTTCAGGAGCTGGGTTTTGCTCTGCACGCTATGAAGGATCAAAAGGACATTATTTTCTAAGTTACCAGGATATTTTTGGTTGTTCTTGTTTATTTTTTGCACTTCAAAGAAGTGACTCTTGACCTAGAGGACTACCAAAACAATACTCTCATGTGAGCATCCTGCCTTCTCTTGTTTTAAATAAACGAACAGTCTACACACAGAATTTTGATCACTGTGCAAAACCAGATGCTTTGAGTCACGCTTTGTAAGTTTTAGAGGGTTCTGCCCTTAATAGGGTGGACTTTACATTTTGTGTTAATTTATGCCTTAACTAGCAGACTGAACAAATAAAATATTTTAAAAAGGGAATTGGTTTCTTAATATTACAAATCCATCCTTGATTGTGGAGGTTTTGCTGCTCTTTTTTTCCTAGCTTGCACATTTTCTATTCTGAAAAAGAAGTGTTGATTGTGTGAATAAAATTGAGTTTACTTTCATTGACTCCTCAGTGAGTAGGGGGTAAAATGTAGTAATATATGCATATCTTTTTTACTGGAGTAAATACTCACTGTATGATTATATGAAAAAAGAGATTTTGCTGATTAAAAAGTACCATATACTCATTTTTTGAATGAAGCTTTCAGTAGAAGAGAACTGGCAAAATACCAGTGGATAAGTGTCTGCAACAGGATGTGCAGAATATTCTTCCCATGGCAAAAAATAACTTGCTGTGCTCTCTGCAGCTTTTACTTCTGCCTTGGTACATATCTCCAGATGTATGACAGAGGGACATTAAGTAGAGGGAAACTCCTCTTGTGCAGATCCTTTCTTGCTGTCACTCGGTTTATATCATTCTTTTGAAAGAAAACGATGAAACAATAGTGACACAAAATCCGTTATAGGTCTAACTAAACTATGAGGATTAGGTTGATTAACATGATATTGTTTTGGTTTGCTCTACAGCACAAGGTAATTAGAGTTGGACATGTGGTCATGTAGGCTAAGATCATCAAAAGCAGTTCTCTCAAGCTTTCAGTCCATTATACATGCAGAACTGTGGTGGCTTCTCTAAGAGCGTGAAAAGTAGAAACAGAAGGAAAGCAGTGTACCTAAGTGTACCTTATATTTTACCATAGAGCTCTCTGCTAGCAAACCAGGCAAACTGGTTTTGGGAATGGGGCTGCAGTTTTCCAGAAGTGAAAAAGAATAGTGCTAAACTGAAAAAAGGCAAAGTATTTCTGATTTCTGGCAGTTCCAAGGCAACAGACAATGAGTTGTCAGTTAAAAGTAAGGATGTTAAAATTCAATGAATGGGTAGCAGAGAGAATCATGATGGCACATAAGAAATGGCATTTTTCCTTATGCATGTAAAATCTACTTCTAAGCAAGTGGATTTTGGGGTAGTTTATTTTGTAGGTTTGGAGTTTTGTTTTGTTTTTTTTTTTTTTTTTGGCAGAGAGTATCTTAACACAGAAGAGGAAAAGTGCCCTGTTGAATAATAAGGATTCACTTGGTTGCTTTATTTGAAAGTTGTTGGAAGATATCTGCAGAGCAGGGAGATAAATGCAACTGAGCAGAAGAGACTTAGCTGCTGGGATTCTTACTAATGCTTTATTTATTTTTTAAAAGAGAGGAAATCTGGAAAGTAGCTGCTCTGGAAACTTTCAAAAGGAAAAATATTAAGTGGATAAAATAGCAAATATAAGGAATAGGGACTGCTTGTTCAGGAAGGGTGGAAAGAAAAGAAGGGAAAGACGGCAATGCCAGATGGGAGAGATTCTCAGTAGTAGTATCTCATAGATTTTGCATTATTTTCACATTAAGATGCCTTTTTATGTTTAGTCACCTAAATAAGTGGGTATCCTCAACTTCTTTTTTGTGTATTTTATTCCTATTTTGATTCTTTCAATATGATTTTTTGTTATTCTATCTTCTGTTCAGATTTACTTATACCAGAAGATTTTACAAAGTGCCTAGGTTCTCAACTTATGTCAAATTCCAGATTACGGAACCTGAAACACATTGTGCCTGAAGATTAGGATCTTAAGATATCAGAAGTTTACTTGGAGCTAGTGATGCAACAGTAATATATGTTTAAGCTTCCAGAGCTGAGTGACATTTTTATAGGAAGTATGCAGCTGCATTAACTCCCACATATAGTCCTTTCCTGGTCTCTAGGTACCATTTTCTACAGAGAATTAGAGAAATCTAAAAGGTAAATGGCAAATTCATGGTTTACCATGAGTATAGCCTTCAGCTAGGAGAATGTCTTTTTAATAATAATAAAAAAGAACCTGTACCTGGCAACTGATGCTAACTGGAGATTTGAGTTTAGTAAAGAGTAAATCAATACTCCTGAATCTGTGCATAGATTTGAAGAAGAGTGCATGTAAACTCTGTAAACAGGTGAAAAGTATCTAATTTTTTTTTTTTAAAAAAATAACTTCTTTCAGCCAACTTTTACTGCTAAAGTTTTACCACTTAAGGTGGATACTGCTGCGTGTCAAAGATCTGATCTTGTATTGCTGGCCGTGTCTTGGTTTGAAAAATAAAATACATAGTTGAGCGTTACTAGTGTGGTATTCTTACTAGAGCGTTTGTCATTAATTATTGTTCTCGTTATCTCTCATGTACATTGAAGAATAAGGAGGCTAAAATCAATAGTTCCAGAGAAAATGGAATAGTAACCAGTCTCCTGTATATTTGGTGGAGAGAGATAAGACCAAAATAATACCATAATTTTTCCTCCCTCTGTTCTAAACAGTTGCATTAATAGTATATTTTACTGTGCCAGAAATTTCCAAGGAGATTGCATGAATGAACAAAAAGAATAAGAACTTAATTCACTCTTTTTCTCCTTGCTGAAAGGACTGACAAAGTAGCAAACCTTGTCTTTCTTTCATTGATAGATGGCTGTACTCCTTCTATAGCTTTAGTTTATATTTGAAGTGTGATCTCTTATGTCTTTACAGCACTGCATTGCCATGGTGTAGGTAATGCACAGGCAATGCAAGTGTGCCAGAGTCCCTTGGGCAGAAGGGCCCAGGTGCCAAGCAGGAAAGAAGGTGGGAGTGAGCACTGGTATTTGTCTGAATTTCCTTGACTGTTGAACACACCCAGCTTTTAGTTTTTACTCATGTCTTCTTTTGTTTTGTTTTATTTGTTTGCTGGTTTTTACCGTCTCTTTGAAAGGATGCTCAAATAAACAAAGAGGCTCATTCTTATTATTGTTTGCAGGTTTCCAACCTGTACCTGTATGACAGTGTGCTCATGCTGGCCAATGCTTTCCACAGAAAACTGGAGGACAGGAAATGGCACAGCATGGCAAGTCTGAATTGCATGAGGAAGTCCACCAAACCTTGGAATGGAGGACGATCCATGCTAGAGACTATTAAGAAGGTGAGAATAGACAAGGCACGATTGTGTGAGCAATTGAAAGAATTGCTTCATTTCTACTTGAGATTAGCTTTTGAAGAGGTTTTTGACCTCTGTTCAACTCCTGTTTGATTTATTACAAGCAAGTGATTAAGAACTACCAGGAATGATGTACAGTTATTAAACAAGCAATCAATTTATTACAAACAAATTACACACACTGCAGTGTTGCTCCAGTGGTGTGTGTTCTACTGCTGTTGTTCTCATAGCTACCTTCTGTGCAGGTAGTGTGATTAGGAATAGTCATACAAATTCATGAGTGCATGCATCATAATAATTTCCCCAAGAGAGGAACTTAAGGAGCAAAAGAGGTCAACCAATGACAAAGTTTAAGACTTATGTTCCATTTACTAATGCACAACTAGCTTTGTAAGTTAGTTGAGCATTGGTAAGTATCTATTTGTGTACAGTAGCCCAGAGAAAAAGGGATCTGATTTAGCTAAGTTGTCACTAACAGTTACACTGTCTTGCAGTATGTTGAATTACTCAAACAGGGACAGTATTGTGGCTTTGCAGATGCATGGTAACTTCTTTTATGAAAGTTATTTGATCACAAATACCAGTGGAAAAATGATCATTTTTTACTATACTGACTTTAGCATTTATTCAGAAAAAAGCCTCTGTTTCCCCATATATATTGATAAAATGTTTTTCTTCCAATAAAATGCTGTAACTTGATTAAGTATTATGTTATGCTGTGACCAGTCCTAATGATGCCATCCTAATGATGCCATCTTTTGTGGCTAAATTACTTCATACTTTAGTGTCTTTCAAGATTCCTTGCTAAAAACCCAAAATCAAACTCTCTGACACTTTCACAGAGAGGTTTTAATAATACTTGAAATTTTATCTTTTCTTCATGCCTGTTTTGGGAGCACAGCAGGCATACTTTTTGTTTTGGACTTGCAGTTGTCTCATAGTCCACCAAGGTCCTTCTCCTTTTCTTTGGGGTCTCTGAATGATGAGTACCTGATGGCTTTTTTCCCACAATATATAGTGGGTGTGTTAGTGCTAAAGTAATTTTTTCAAAAAACAAAAGAAAAAAAGAAAAAAGAAAAAAAAGTAATTTGTCTGACACTATGTATGAACTATCAAAGAACACGTAATTGCCACATTTAAGTTCACTGTAAACATTTTCAAAGCACTTTTGGCATAACTTTAATGAAGAGAAGTGTTTCTAAAGGCAAATTTATTCTATTCTAAAATTTCTGAAACTTATTTCCTTAGGGCCATATAACTGGGCTTACTGGTGTTATGGAGTTCAGAGAAGATGGCGCCAACCCCTATGTTCAATTTGAAATACTGGGCACTAGCTACAGCGAAACATTTGGCAAAGATGTGCGGAGGGTAAAGATATGCTGCTTCTTTCTCTCTTTTGTTTTCCTCTAAGTAATATACATTCTACTTCACAGAAAAAAAATGTTATTCTTTAAGAATGAATTAGTTCTACACTGCAAAAGACATCTACTATAAGAGAAATATTTTCTAGTATCTTACACACTTAAATTTTGAAAGCTAATTTTATATTGGTAGGCAGGAGTCCTGCAAGTTGTTTCCACATGTGCAGCAATGATGCAGTGCCATAACAATACTGTGAACACAATAGTGAAGACTACACAATTCTACTGATGTATTTTATTGTTAATTAAGATATAATTGATATAACTGGCACTTGTCTCACTAAGGAAGCTAAATGAGAATATAAATTACCTAAACACACAAAGATGTTTCAAAGTATAGCTGCTGCAAGAATTTGAGGTAAATAAAAAAACTAGAGAAGACAATTTCCAAAATTGATGGTGCTATATTGTGTAAAGTAAAGAATGACCTATCAATGGTAGCTGGTGGAACAAGGACTGATGTGGATTAGAAGGCAGTTAGAGTGGTTCCATGGGGTTACTAACATAAATTGTCATGGGCTGAGAAGGCTACCTTGAACATGTTAATTCAGAGGGGGTGCTCTGAAAACACCTGAAACTCTCAATTGAACAGTAAGGTTTTGATTGGAACCCAAGCTACAAAATGTCCCTAAACTGTTCGACTGGTTGAAATACAGACGTTAGCACTGTATGGGCAATGGGTCATACATTAAGAAGAGCTGAACAAAGAGGATTCCATGAAGAATTAAAATGTATGACATTTTCTATTTTGATTTGACTATTGGTTTTTGATTGTTTTTCTTTGATTCACTTGAATTACATGAGTCTAAATGGAAGAACAAGCAAAGAACTTGTGTTTACATTGTCGTCTTAAACAGCTAAACCTGAGATTCTTTCAGAGTCTGATTTGGCACGAGGATTCTGGACATAGAACCAAAGGCTTGCAATATCTACTAAAAATTCAACAGAAGGAAGAGAAGTATTTGAAATGCATAAAGCTCCATGAGATGTAATTGAAAAACTTCTGTTGCCAAAAAATGTCTCTGAAGACTTCAGATTGGATAGGCACTCTCCTGTATTGTAATGAGCAGAAAAGGATATCTCTCAGTCCAGTTTCAGTTCTAGAAGATTTCTACTGCATATGAGTCTAAGTTCCAAACACTACCTGAACGATGAAAAAATATCTTAATTTTGGAAACAGTGTTGCATATTTAATAGAACAGAGTTGGCTTACAAGGTCTAGGAAGCAATTCTGGTTCATAAACAGAAGTATGCACCGCACTTTATGTACAAGTATGAAAAACAGCAGTATCTGGTGCTGTGTGAGATTCTATGGACTTATCCTATTGTGTTTCCAGCTGCTACTACTGAAAAGCATGCGTGTCCTGTCAGTGCTATGTTATCCCTAGCAGATGGATGCCATAGGGCATTTGAGTTTGGTTCCATTTTGTTACAGAATTCCCAAGTGACTTTGAGCAAGTCACATAATCACTTTATGCTTCGATTTACCTTTCAATAAAATTGACATGATTACCACTCAGAACAACTTTGAGGTCTTAAAGAGAAATTGTGATGTGTGAGTATACATTATTACTTTTTTAATAATGTACATTTCAAATATGGTGACATATATACAAAAGCTCTCACTTCAGTATGTGTAGCACACCAACCAAATTGAGATATAATCCAGATGTATGAAGTGGAGATAGCTCATAGAATCATACAATGGTTTGGATTGGAAAAGACCTTAAAGACTGTCTTGTTCCAACCCCCCTGCCATGGGCAGGGACACCTTCCACCACACTGCCATGGGCGGGGACGCCTTCAACCAGACCAGGTTGCTCAAAGCCCCATCCAACCTGGCCTTGAACACTTCCAGGGATGGGGCAGCCAAAACTTCTCTGGGCAACCTGTTCTGGTGCCTCACCACCCTCACAGGGAAGAATTTCTTCTTAATATCTAATCTAAATCTTCCCTAAAGATTTAAACCTAAATGGTTTAAAGCCATTGCCCCTTGTCCTATCACTACATGCCCTTCTAAAAAGTCCTTCTCCAGCTTTCTTGTAGGCCCCTTTTTAGGTCCTGGATGGCTGCAATAAGGTCTCCCTAAAGCCTTCCTCTTCTC